TCAGTTATCTGAGCAGAGACCAACCCCTCCTCCTCTATCTAACCTTACCTTTTTGTCTTAACCACTATTAGGTTTAGTTCATTTCTTTTCATGTTAGCTTCCATTGGCCCCCCTCAAGCTAGCCAGAAAGGTTTTCTTGGCTCTTTGGAATATGGTAGCAGGGATGTAAACAGTATGCAGACATCTCTTTCTTATCTCACTAACCAACAAAACCTCAACGCAGCTCTTGAAATCCTCCACAAGGCCATATTAACAAGGTCACTGTGTATCTCCTTCATTACAAGATTTTCCACCAATGACTCTGCTTATAGCTCATAATAGTGTCCTACCATTTGTACTTTATCATAATAGATGTCTTCTTTTACTTGATGATAAACCTATCAATTGTCTACATAAAGAAAGGCATTCTGCTAAGGAGATAGAACAAAAGGCAGAACTTTTAACTTCAAGGCAGTCTTTGTTTAGGGAAGAACAGAGACATGTAAATACTTCCAACCCGGTGATTCCAGTACCTCAGGGCCCTGTGTGCAGAGTGTGCTAGGAACACAGGCTTATCCAGAGTGGCTAGTTCTGGGGATTCTGAGTGGGCCTGGACTGTATTACATCCATCTTTAAGCTTTAAACATGGCCTATGCACAGTAAGCTCATACTGGACTGTTTTGCCTGATAAATCATGTACAAGAATTCCCAGGAGTGCCATTTCTGCTGGCCTTTAAAAAACGGGAGAAGGAGAAAAGAGCCTGTCAGACAGATGTCAGAGTACGTGCAAAGACATGAGGGAATGGCAGAGTGGAGTTTGTTAAGGAAAGAGCAAATGGTACAGGCGATCTGGAGAATCACATGCACAGCAGTGGATTAGAACCAGTACTGGAACAAGGTTAGTATCAATTCATGAGTGTAAATGGGACCCTAATAGAAAAATGAGCTTTGCAAACTGCACCACTGATAGGAGCCTGGAGAAACAGGATTAGAATCTCTACTGGTCTCCATTCATACAAGTCACGGGTGTCCAACCTCTGAGCCACAGACCAGTCCGTCTCCTGTTAGGAGCCAGGCCACACAGCAGGAAGCGAACAGGCACAGGTGCATCTGTATATACTGAGATCCCGTTACTGGTATCACTGCCTAAACTCTGGGGACACTGGGACATTAGATTCTCATGGGAGCTCAGACCCACCTGAGCTGAGCACGTAAGGCATAGAATCTAGCTTTCAAGATCTTTTGAATCACCGAAAAACCAGCATTTCCTTCCCCCACAATACATGGAAACATTATCATGAAACTAGATCCTTCCACCAAAAACATTAGGGACCACTGATACAAAGGATATGAAAAAAGCTACCGTTTGCTCATGTTTTTGAATTTTGTTTATGCTAGCTTATTTTGCAGTGCTGGGGGAGGGGTGGGGCCCAAGGCCTCGCTCACGTGCTAAGCAGGTGCTCTACCAAACAGCTACATCCCTGGGACATTCACATGCTTTTGAGCCTATTTAAATGTCTGAACCCCTGGCTCTGTGTAGCCACTGTTCTGGAGGGGACAAATCTTGTACAATGTCCTTGAAAACTTGTCCTGTGCAGCTGCCATCAGGTTAAGTGGTCACTAAGTGAGGTCATCAACTGGCCAACTCTCTACTGCAGATGGGCAGGAGGTGGGTTCTGCTGCTAGACCGGACCAGACCATGAAACCTCTCATGGGTGGCAAGTTTGCGAGTGTGTGTGTGTGCAGTTATGCCCACATGTGACCGTGTGTTGGGGTCCACTTGTCAGTATAAAGATAGGCTGTGTGACTGCACACATACTGTCCTTGTGCTAATCTGTGTCCAGGTGTATTTCTTGGGTGCAAGGACTTGGCAACCAACAGCCCGTGCCCAGGGCCTCTGTGACTCAGTATGTGAAGGTACCCCTCCCAACTTGGTCTTCCTGAAATAAATCTGCAGCAAGCTGAGGGCACCGCACACAGAAATGTTTGTGTTTCTCTGCTGTGCTGATAAGGGAGAAGGGAAGTTAGAATCGTACCCTACAGGCTTGCTGGATTCAGCCCTAGAGAAACCAATTAGCAGGAAAAACAAGAGGTGATCCCTCAAAAGTACCTGCAAGTGACCAAGATTAAGTCACATCCACATTGTGATTAGCCACAATCCACTGCCCTGGTTGTAGCAAAAACCTCTTTGAAGATCACCAGAAACACACACACACACACACACACACACACACACACACATACATATCCCTTCCATATAGGAAGCCTCTGACATTCACTGTCTATTTCCTGGGCATTTGCTATTTGCACAAAGCTTTGTGCAGGAACTTTTTCATTTCATCCTCAACAATAACTCTTTTAGGCAAATAGTCCAGGCTCCATATTAGTGATAAGGAAATCAAAGTTCTGATAGTTTAAATGACCCTGGCAATCAACTAGCTAAGGTCCACACTCACAGTCCATCTCCGAGTCCTCTGAATCCACACCCCAAGCACAGTATGGCTATTCTGCACTGCAGAGGTTGCATAGCTGAGCCCAAATTGATCCCATAGATGTTTTTTGTTTGGCTTACAGAGTTGTTTCATTTTAAATTTTTCAGTAGCTGCCGATATGTAAAAATTGGTAGACTTCTGGTCAAAAATCGAGAGTCCCAAGTGTTATGGTTTACATCTAAATGTCCTCTCAGGGCCTCATGGGCTCATAGGTGGGACTTTGGGGAGGTGACTGGACATACGTGTGTGATACTCATCACAGGATTAGTCCACTAACAGGTTTATAGCTGGGTGTAGTGTTGGGAGGAGATGCCTTGTGGGAAGAGATGGGTCACATGCGCATTGCCTGGACGGTCAACATCCCTCCTCTCCTGGCCCTTCTCTGCTGCCTGGAGACAGCCAACTACTGACGGAAACTTCCACAAAATATGAGGCAAAATAAAGCTTTCCTCCTTTAACTTGTGGGTGCCAAGCTTTCTTTAAGAATCATACTATAATGTGGCAGTGAGGTCCCATTCCTGGTTGGTAACCCCTGCTCAGAGCTGAGCTTTAGCTGCCTCTTCAGGGGGTACATGTACTCAACTGCTACACTCTTCCCCACTCCGCATCATCTACACCCCCAGCCCTCTTCACTTTTATGATGCTAACCCACCAACCTGCAACGATGTTTTGGATAGTTTTTGCAAAGATTCTCATTCTTTCTCCCTCCCCCTTCCCTCCCCCATTCCCCTCCCTTCCTCCTCCCTCTGTGTCTCTGTCTCTATCTCTCTGTCTCTCTGTCTGTCTGTCTGTCTGTCTGTCTCTCTCTCTCTCCCCTTTCTCTCTCCCTCATTTTTTCCAAGGAAGGGCGGAATCATCAAAGTGATTGCTAAATGTGTCACTTGTTGGTTATTTTCTCCCAGATCATAATCAGACTCATGTTTCCAACAATATAAACCAGAAGGGCAGGGCAGTGGTAAATACATAACTTCTAGGGGTGCAAACAAGACCAACGTATGGGTGATATGTTTACATGTTGTACTGGTTGACGCACTGTGTGAGCTTGAGAAATTTAGAAGTTTAACTAAGAGACTTAGCAGGGAGCCTGGGTCTTTACTTTGTAAACATCCTCGTCCTGTGTAAGAGAAGGGCATGGAGATGGTGTGAGTGCTACACTGGGGCTGGGGAAGCCTGCTTACAGCCTAAGGGAGGAAAAGAGGCTTGTTCTTCCCCTTTGTGCTCTTGCTGCTTTTGCTGTCTTCTCCCTCCTTGCAGTGCTGTCCCCGTGCCATGTCAGCCTGCCTTGGAGACTGCTGTTTATGAACTGAAACCTCCACAAACTGTGAGCTAAATAAACGTTTCCCTCCCTAATTTTGGGTGTTGGGTATTTTGCCTCAGCAACGAGAGAAAAGTAACTAAGTCATGTGCATCATATGCTCACAGACTACGCTATTATTGCCTCCACAGAGATGGTCTAAGGACTTAGATAACCTAGCAATTAAAGTTAAAAAGTTAATATCAGGGCATGTTTGGAGAACAGCAGTGTGGAAATTCTTTATAACCTTTCCCTCTGCAGTTCTATATTGAGTCTTTCAGGGAATTTAGCAGGCCCTCTGTGGTCCAAAGTGGGGGATGGGGTTGGAGGTAGGGGGCAGTCAGTCAGGAAACTGCAACCAAAGGCACAGCTATGTCTGCGTCAAACCTAGAAAATCACTGCACAGCCAGATGGTGCTCTTCCTGGGCGAGCACCTTGAGAGGAAAGAAGAACTCCAGTGGCTCCATCCTCTGAGCATAAGACAGGAGACCAGTGGCCGCAGGCCTAGCGGTATTGGCAGGAACCATGTGGTATAATAATGCCCAAGAACTTTTCAAGGAAAGCCAGAAATCTTCATTTCATAAGAAATCCCCAAGTGATTAAATGCTAATAAGCAAAGCATTTCTTGAGGAATCCTGTTGCAAATAACAATAGCTTCCTATTTTTTGTGTGCTTGGCATGAGCTAAGCATAGAACACATGATCATTTCAATAACTCTCATCATACAGCCCTGACTGTTGTGGGACACTAACTCATGAAACCCTCCTAAGGACACTGTGCTGCTGCTATTCTTCTCATCCCCATTTGACAGAGAAGCAAACTGAGGCAGAGAAAGTTAAATCACATAGTAAGTGGCAGAGCTGAGATTCGAACCCAGGAGCTTCACTCACTCCACTGCCCTGTCCAGTGAATTTTCACAGTAACCTCTGAGGGAGGTCCTGTTACCACCCTCATTTCCTAGAAGAAAAGCCTGCGACCTGAGAGGGATGGCTACCTGCCTGCGGCCCTGGGGTCCATCTGGCTCTGGTGCCGGGGTCTTCCTGGGCGGACGACCTGCAAGTCCTTGCACCAGGCACAGGGGAAGCGGGGCGAGGCTTTGGAGAGGAGTGAGGGAAATCGTTTTGTAAGAACCCAAATGTCATTTTTTTCTGATAAGAAAAAGGCTACTCTAGCTGTCAGACCATAAGCTGCAACCTTTATGTTTACAAAGCAAAAAGGGCAATTAAGTGAGACAAAATAAATCTTCTCGGGCCTCTGTGGATGGGCCTGGCAGGTCTTCGGTCTGAGAGCTGATTGACAGGACATATTACATTCCGGAGCAGACTCAGCCTCTGACATTTCTTTGAAGCAACACTGAAGCGTGAAGCTGGTTTCTTAAAGGGCTCCCGTCCCTTTCTGAGCCTCAGGGACCCCAAGGTGGTAGTGGGGGAAGTGGAGGGGCACGTGCAGAGCTTGGCGGAGGCCAAGAGACAATCATCACGTGCACAGGGGTGATGACAATCAGGAGCTCCGTGGTGCTGCACAATTCGCATGCATCAAGGACCTTTCTGTGCCAGCCCTGTGCCGAAGGTATCAGCACACCCCCGTCAGCAGGCTGGGTCTCTTGTGGTTACCATCTCTCAGGTGCCAGGGCTTGTGACGAATCCCAGTGCGTCACACAGAACGGGTTCGCTAAAGACTGAGAAATCGCGATCAGCATAGGTGGACAAGGTCTCTTCTATTCTGCTTATCCCCAAAGACCTGCGCCGAGGCCCTGCGCTTGGTCAGCTATCCCATAGGGAGAATGTTTTGGGGAGAGACACACCCACACTAATTATTCTCCCCACTCACAGGATAAGTGTGGGAGCAACCCGGGCAGTGGAGAAACACAGACTGACACCGGCAGTTCATTCTGATTCTTCTAGGAAAGGTCCAGGGAGTGTCAGGCTTGTAGCACAGCGCCTCCTGCTGGGCAGAGAGCTCTGCTTCTTTGAACTCCCCGCCCAGCATCCATTGTGAACCGTGGAGTCTCAGTGACGTCGTCGAGAACTCCTGACAATCCTTTGCAGTTGACACTAGCAGCCCCTGTTTTCCACGCTATCCTGCAGAAGGAATTTAAAAAACCAAAACCTTGTTTTTCTTCTACATCCCCGTTCCTGATCGCAAGCACCGGAGCTGTGACATGCACGTGCAAGGGGGTTGGATTTGGTCCTACGGCTGAACTCATCACTTGGTCAGTGGGTGAGTGCTTCTGCTTTCGTGATGATGAGCACAGGAACTCGGGGTCAGAGAAGCCTGGGATAAACTCCCCTGTCTCTGCAGGAGGGAAGGTGGGACTCTGGGGTGACTATTCAATGTTCATGCCTTAGTCTCCTCTTCTGTAAACCAGGGATCATATAAGCACCCATGTTGTGGGGCTGTTGTGAGAGCCAAATACGATGATATACAGGAAGTCCGTTTTACAGCGGCACCCCTAGCACATAGGCTCTCAGTGCATGTCAGTTCATGATGTGCTCCTTGCAGTTGCTGTTGCTGATGGGGATAATATTGGCGATGTTGTGATGATACTGACAGCAATATTATGATGTTCTCCTGATGGCCCATACCACCTTCTCTGAGGAAGGACTTGCAACAGGGAGATGACTAACATCTGGTGCTTTGCACTTTTCTTCAAGACAGACGTCTTAGTAGCCTTGCCCATCACTAGGACAAAATAGAGTAAAACCTTGGTTTGAGAGTGTAATTTGTTCTGGAAACACGTTTATAATCGAAAGTACTTGCATATCAAAGCAAATTTCCCCATAAGAAATAATGGAAACTCGGAGGATTCATTCTACAACCCAAAAGCGTTCATATAAAAATGATCACAACACTGGAATATAGTATAAAAATAAAGAAAACAAAGAAATATAAAGAGAAACAAATGAACCTGCACCTACCTTTGAAAACCGTGGTTGGTGTGAGGGAGCCAAGAGAGAGGAGGGCTACTGTGTAGGATGACTTCCCTCACTAACAGAATCACTGCTATCTGTTAGCTCAATGGAATCTTTTTCTTTTCATGCAACTTTAACAAGGAACCTACCCAGTGACACCTGCTTCTGCCTCCTTCTGAGGATTTCATGGAAATGTGAATGTGTCATTAAACAGATTCATTGCACACACTGCTGCAGCCTTATTTGGGTGGTGCCTTTCTGCAAAACTTTGCACTATTTTCCACATTTTCCAGATCTCTATAATCTCATTTGAAGTAAGGGATTCCTCTACCTTGTTTTCCTCCTGCTCTGCAGACAAGATCTTGCCTCTCGCTGTTAGGAGTGGATCACTCACAATCCGGCAGAGCGCAAGAGAGAAAAACTACTGGCTCACTTATGATCAGGTGATGCCTGGTGTCATACACTATTCCTATTGCAAGGCATCACTTGTTTATTAAATTGAAATTCATTAGAAATGTTTGCTAATCTTGTGGAACATTGGCAGAATAAGTTGCTCCCAATCCAAGGTTTTACTGTACTCCAGACCACAATATAAAGGAGAGGTTTATTTTGGCTCACAATTACAGACCATGATTGGCTGGCTCCCTGGCAGAAATGGCTTGGCTGTGGGGCATGGCAGAAGAAAATTTCTTATCCTGCAGTGGCCAGGAAGCAGAGAGAGAGAAGGGAGGAGCCAAAGAGCCAGATACACCTTTCCAGGGCAAGCTCTCAGTGAAGCAATCCCTTCTACACACATGAGAATTTTGGGGATGTTTTACAGCTATACCATAACAACAGGCAATGAGGCCTTTTCTGGTGACCGGGGCCAGCCCCGGGAAAGATAGGGCTGGAAAACAGTTTAGCTGGGAGTGTAAACTGAGCCGAGAAGGCCCCAGGCTCCTTTGCTGGTGTCATTTCAGAGCCAGAATCATTCTGGAACAAGACTGGAATTGTCACTTCTGTGGAGCTGTTCCTCATGTTGCCACTGCTGTGGATATGCTGGGACAGCTTAATTTGATCCAGTTCATGACTTTCAAATGCCATAACTATTCATGGCTGCACCAAAATCCACCTTACCACGTTCAGGATATCCTAGTCCAGACCAAGCAATACTCCAATTCCTCCATCCTCCACACTCACAGGAGCTGGAAACAGTGCCAACATCCCATAACGCACAAGCTCAAGGACAGAAATGGGTGAGAGACAACCGAATCCTCTTCATTAGCCTTCTACAGAATCCTTCTTACTTATTAAGAACTCTGCATCTTCCCCCACTATCATTCTTGCACCTATTTATCATTATCTTATTTTTTTAGATAGAGAAGCTAGAACTCAAAGAAATTAAATGCACTGGATGAAGTCATTGTCAGCAAATGGCAGGGACATGGTAAGATGTTTTTAACTTCAAATTCCAAATGAAGAGTGATTATTATGGAGGTTAAAGTCCTGGATCTTGGGGGGGAAATGCATTTAATTCTCACCTTCCATACTCAAATTTCTGCCTCATCTGTCTTTTTCGCAAAGATGGCAAAGCCCATTCCTAGGTACTCCCTGAAAGATATTCAGTGATCTGCAGGGACAGGCATAAAAAATATGGAAACAGGTCGCTCAGTCACTAACTTGCTTATTTTCCTTAACTCCCATTCCCTCAAAAACAATCCCCAGAGGTGGATATAAGCAGGATGAAAGACTAGAATGCTCCAGGTCTGCGTTTTCCCATGGAAACACAAACAAAGAAATAGAAAGGGACTAAAATAACTTCATGGGAGATTTTGAGCCAAAGATCTATGGCTGCAACCAGTGAACTCCCAAACAAGAAAAGACCATGGTCAAAATGGTAGGAAATTTTGAAGTATTTTTATTCACACTTTTTCCATAATTTCTCCAACACATGTGGTCTAGAGAAGGGGGTTAACGTCCCTCACTTAGGCAAGAAATCATTTGAAACACTGTGTGCTGTCTGTGATCTGCCCAGCGGGTAGATCTGTCTCCCCCTGAGGGTTTCTGTCTCGCACTGGTCTTGGAGCTTAAAGAGAACAGAGGCAATGTTTGCATCTCAAGCAAGAAGCAGCAAGAGGCAGCGGTAGGCATTGTGGCACAGGGAAATTGCAAGGGAACTGCAGATCTGTAGATACCTTGGGCAAAAGATTATAGCCAGAGGAATACACTAGTGCAGTGGTGGAGAATCACTTAGAGACAGGACCTAAACTGCAGCCCAAAACCAACTTATTTATTGCAAAGTGCCAACACTGCAACTAAGCCTGAATATTGAGGTCTTAGTTTAAGTAAAACAACCCATACATTAACATATTTCACTTTAAAAGAGAAACAAAATGCGTGTCATAGGTTTACCACCACTGCACTAGAGCATCTATGGCCCCAAGTTGGAGCTTGAATGAGACTTTCTGAGAAACCAAAGCATTTAAAAGCTTACCTGGGAGAAAATAGACACATATAAATCCAGACAAAACACGTACTCAGAAAAGACACAGAAAGTGTTTAAGTCTTTACCCTGGGAAGATCTCTAGCCTCAGGGAACCACAGTAAAAGTCCTCCATGCTAGTATGCAAAGACAAGGAAATGCCACAAAGCATACAAAGAAACAGGGAAACAGCCCACTCAAAGATCAAAATAAATCCTCAGGAACAGTTTGTGAAGAAATACATGCCTCAGGCTTACTAGATAAATACGGTGAAGTAACTGGCTTAAGTGTGCTAAAAGAGCTAAAGGAAAATGTAAACAAAGAGATAAAGTAAATCAGGGAAGTTATACATAATCAAAATGAGAACATCTACAAAATGGTACAAGTCAGGGCTGGGGATTTAGCTCAGCGGCACAGTGCCTGCCTGGCAAGTGCAAGGTCGTGAGTTCAATTCCCGGTACCGGAAAAACAAAACAAAACAGAAAAGGTAGAAGTTATAAAATAGAACCAAGGAGATTTTAGCTTGAAAAATGTAACTAAATTGAAAAAATTGTTAGAGAAATTCAACAGCAGATTCAAGCAGGTGAAAGAATGGTAAATCTGAGGACACTTCACTTAAAGTTATCAAGTCTGAGAGACATGTGGGACACCATCAAGTTGTCCAATGTACACGCCATAAAAATTCCAGAAGAAGAAAAGAGAGGGAAAACGTAAGAAAGTATATCTGATAAAATTATGGCTGAAAAGTTCTCAAATTTGAGGAAAGAAATGGATTTACAGATGCAAGAAGCTTAAACGAATTCCAGCTAAGATTAAACCAAAGAAACCACAGTGAGGTACTTTGTTTGTGAATTTTTTGAAAGACAAGGACAGAATCTTGAAAGCAGAAAGAAAAAGTGACCCATCGTGTACATTAGATCTTCCCAAAGGCTGTTCAAAGATTTCTCAGCAGAAATCTTGCAAGCCAGAGGCAGTGGGGTGGTATATTTACCAACTTTATAGCCAGTGACAGGCTGTTGATACAGTGGTGGTCTCATAAAGTTATACTAGAGCTGAACAATTCCCCTAACTCAGTGACACTGTAGCTGTCATAACATCATATTACACTGCATTACTCCCATGTTTACAGTGACACTGGTATAAACTAAACATGCTGTGCTTCCAGAAACAGAAAAATATAGCAATACTGTAATGCACAATACATCATATTTGATAATGATAATGAGTAACATTGATTTATACATTTACTAGACAATAGCTTTTATCATTTTAAAATATACTCCTACTTATTTTAAGTTTACAGTAAAATAGTGTGTTATGCTATGTTGATAGCAGCTTCATATATCTTGTGTTACTGACATCTCTTTTTTGCTTTTTATTTCTAAAAAATTTAAATTAAAATACCATTATCATACCTTACAGATCTAGAGAAAACATTCCTAAAATTCATCTGGAACCAGAAAAGATTGAGAATAGCAAAAGCAGTCCTGGGCAACAAAGACAAGTCAGGTGGAATCACATTCCCTGATCTGAAACTATACTACAAAGCTACTATAATAAAATCAACCTGGTACTGGCTAAAAAATAGACCTGAGGATCAATGGAACAGACTGGAAGAAACAGCCACAACCACAAACACACTCAGCCACCTAATCTTTGACAAATGGGCCAAGCAAGCTCACTGGAAGAAAGATAGCCTCCTTAATAAATGCTGGAAAAATTGGTTCGCCACTTGCCGAAGACTGAAAATAGACCCAAGTCTATCACCGTGCACCAAACTAAAGTCAAAATGAATCACACAGAAATTATAAAGATAGTACAGAGGGTTCATATACAATTATCCCCCAGCTACCCCCTGTGGTAATGTCTTGATTGTATTATTTTTTCTTTGCTTAATTTAAATATCATGATTTGCACTATGGCCATAGAAACAATAGATTACACCACTCTCTCTATATATATAGCATAGGTGTGCAGTAGGTTATACTACCTAAGCTTGTGTAAATATACTCTTTGATGTTCACACAATGACAAAATCACCTACTGACCCATTTTTCAGAATTCCCACCATTCATTGATGCCTGACTCTATGTAAAGCACTGAGAAAGCAACTGTTAACTGAAAACATATATCTAGCAAAACTTTCCTTCAAAAGTGAAGGGGAAATTGAGACATTACATCAGACTTGCCCTACAGGAAAAGATAAAGTGAGTGATTTGACCCGAAATGAAAAACTACTTCACAGTAATTCAAAGCCATGTGAAAATATAAAAATCTAGTATATATGCTGCTGAAAAAAGCACAGACAATATAACATCTCTGCTAAAGGTAAATACAAGAACAAATTTTATTTTATTTTATTTTTTTGGTACAGGGAATCAAACTCAGGACCTGGAGCTTGCCAGGCAGGCACTTATGCCACTCAGCTATATCCCCAGCCCAAGAACAAATTTTAAAAATAGCACTACTGAAATTTTGGTTTGCAACTGCTCCACTTTTTATTTCCTACAGAAATTAAAAAACAATTGCACCAAAACCTATAATTCTATATTATGGGCTTCAAATACATACAGATGTAGTCCATAACATCAGTAGCATAAATTAGCAGGAGGAGATATATAAGTAGAGTATCATATATGACCAATTAAATGGCAATACATTTCAGATTCATTATCATAACTTTTTGCAATGTGAGATAATCTAAAGCTAGCACAACAAAAAATAATAAAAACTGGAGAAGTAAAATGTGAAATTTTTAAATAATAGAGAAAATCAACAAAACAAAGAGTTGATTCTTCAAAAGATTTTTAAAAATTGACAAATCTTTACAAGACTGACTAAGAAAAAAGAGAGAAGATGCAAATAGCTATAGTCAAAAAACAATAGAAAGGATGTTACTAATAATTCTATAGAAATAAAAAGGGTAGCCTAGGTGAAATTTACAAATTGTTAGAAATACACAATCTACAAAGACTGAATCATGAAGAAAAAGGAAATATGAACAGAACTTGTCACTAGTAAAGAGATTTAATCAGAAATTAAATACCTCCCAACAAAGAAAAGATGAAGATATGGTGTTTCACTGGTAAGTTCCATGACACATGTAAAGAAACTAACCCTACTCAAACTCTTTTTTAAAAAATGAGATCTTGTTTTATGAGACCAGCATTATCCCAATACTATAACCAGAGAAAGACATTACAAGAAAATATAAACCGATATCCCTTATATTAGTGTGACAATTCTTAACAAAACACAAGTACATGAATGAATTCAACATCATATTAAAAGGATTGTACACCATGACCAATTGGAATTTATTCCAGGAATGAAAGAACAGTTCAATACTTATGAAATAACTCTACATAATGTACCACATTAACAGGACAAAGAGGAAAACACAATTATCTCAATAAAGAAAAAGCATTTCACAAAATTCAACACATTTCGTAACAAAAACACTCAACAAAGTAGGAACAGAAGGAAACTACCTCAACATACTGAAGACTACATCTGAAAAACCCATAGCCAGCATTATCCTTCAGAGTAAAAGACACAAGCTTTATTTCAGAATACTAGATGTCTTTATCCAGAGTAATTAGGCCATAAAAATAAACAAAATATGTAAGAACTAGAAAGGACAAAGTAAAATTCTCTCTGTTCACTGACATGATATACACAGAAAACCAAAACAGCTGCTGTAAAAATCTATCAGAATTAATGAATTAATTCAGCAAAATTGTAGGATACAAAACCAGTTGTGGCCAGGCGTGGTGGCACATGCCTTAATCCCAGCACTTGGAAGGCTGGGGCAGGAGGATCGCTGTGAGTTTGAGACTAGCTGGGCTACAAGAGTGAGTTCAAGGCCAGCCTGAACTGTGTAGTGAAACCCTGTCTCAAAAAGAACAAAAAAGAAAACCAGTTGTGTTTTTCTATGCCAAGGAACAACCAGAAAGGAAAATCTTAAAATAATTTTATTTACAATGACATCAAAAAGAATAAAGTAGGAATAAACTTAATCAAGGAGGTGAAAGATTTGAACACTGAAAACTGCAAGCCATTCCTGAGGAAGATACAAATGAATGGGAAGAAGCACCCTGTGCTCACGAACTGGAAGGCTTTATATTTTTGGATGCTGAGAATACTCAAAGCAATCTAAAAATGCAAGGCAATCCCTCTCAGAATCCCAGCAACATAAATAGAAAAACTCATCCCAATTTTCATACAAAATCTCAAGGGATCCCAAGAAGCCAAAACCATCTTGAAAAGACAATGGTGGAGATGTCAAACTTTCTGGTTTAAAACTGTACTACAAGGTCTCAGTAATCAAACAGCATACTGTTCACATAAAGGCTGGTATTTAATTAACATTAGAATAGAGAAGGCAGAAAAAAACCCTCACACAAGTGATCAATTGATTTTCATCAGAGATGCCGCAACCCTTTAATGAGGGGAAAGACAGTCTATTCGACAGATTGGAAAATATGGATATCCATGGACAAAAGGATGAAGTTGGATGCTTACCTTACACTATGTACAGAAATGAGCTCAGAATGGATCCAAGATCTAAATATAAGGGCTAAAACTATAAAATGTAGGAGCTAATACGGGGAAAACATCATGATATTAAATTTGCAATGATTTTTTGAATATGATGCTAAAAATTACAGGCCACAAACAAATATAGATGAATTGACTTTATCAAACCTAAAAAGTTTTGTGCATAAAAGACACTATAAACAGGGTGAAAAAGCAACGCACTAAATAGAGAAATATTTGAATATTACATATCTAATACAAGATTAATTTCCACAATGTATTAAAGAAAACTCCTACAATTTAGCAACAGAAATATAAAGATAACAATTTAAAGAACAGGCAAAAGACATGAACAGATATTCTCTAAAGAAAATATATGAATAAGTACATGAAACTGTGCTCAACATCACTGCCTTAATTACTTTTCTTGTTCCTGAGACAAAAACCTGAAACCCAAAGTTAAAGGGGAAAGGTTTGTTTACTTCACAGTTTGTAAAAGTTTCAGTCCATAACTAGCTAGCTCTGAGGCAGGGTGGCATATCAGAGAAGACATAGTTCATGGTGGGCAGAAGGTAGCAAAGCAAGCAAGGGATAAAACGAATCTCTTTGTGTCCCTTATATTGTATCTAGGCTACTGGGATTAGTGGTTCCAAAGCAATCAGCAGACTGATTTAGTAGTCAACCACCCTTAATCCTAACACCCTTAATCTTAGCATTGCACCATGAATCAGACACACACTCTAGATTCAACCACCTCTGAAAAAGCCCCACCTATGACCACATGAGGCTTGGAGGGGACATCTAGACACAAGCCATAACAATCACTAATTATGGAAATGAAAGTCAAAACCATGAGATATAACCTCACACCAATTAGCAGGCTACTATCAAAAGAAATAAAAGAACAAGCATTTTTAAGGATGTAGAGAAATTGGAATACTTATTCATTGCCGGTGGGAATGTAAATGGTACTGTTACTGTGAAAAAGAGTATGGTAATTCCTCAGATAAATAAAGATAGGATTACCATATGATCCAACAATCCCTCTCTAGGTATAGACCCAAAAGAACTAAAAACAAAAAGTGTCATTTGCTGCTGCTACTGTTCTATTTGTTTGTTTGTTTGTTTCTCATGTACTACTCTCTTTAAAATAAAATAAAATTTTTAGAAAAAAGTGTCATTTGCACGCCATGCTCATAGTACCACACTTCACAATAGCCAAAAGGTGGAAGCAACTCTTGTGTCCACTGGTAGAGGAATGGATACACATAACTGGATATATACACACAACAATGAAATATTATTCAGCCTTAAAAAGGTGAAATTTTGACACATACTCGAACATGAATGAATCTTGAAGACATTACACTAGTGAACTAAGCCAGTTACAAAAGGACAGATATTGTATAATTCATCTCAAAAGAGGTCCCTAGAATAATCAAATTCATAGAGACAGAAGGTAGAATATTAGCTACAATGTCTTTCCTCCTTTTTAAAAAAATAAAGAACAATGCTCTCCAGGGATGAGGTAGTACTTTAATGGGCAGAGAGTTTCAGTTAGAAAAGATAAATAAAAAGTTCTCACAATGAGTGATACCAATAGCTGCACCACATGGTGAGTGCACATAACCCCGTGGAATTGTACACTTAAAGATAGTTGGAAAGGTTGATTGTGTTCTGTGTCTAAATATCTTAAAAATCTTGCCCCTTTAGATTCATTTGGGCATTTTATTTAAATACAGAATGTATTTAAAAATTGCATGTTTTCATTAAGTTTTATAAGATAGTATAACAGGAAATATAAAAACAATTTTATCAGATTTATTCAATCTAAGAATTGACCGGTTGAACGGACACCTGCCCGAGCAATGCTCAGGGTAGTCAGTGCATAAATAAATACGCTGCCCAAGTGACACTCAGGA